AATAAAATTGAGAAGTATTTAACGAGTATTAATAGATGAAATTCTTTTTAGATCATAAATGTAAAAAATAGACGACAGTTAACCGCACATTGATATAAATTTAAGACATAAATTTATATCAATGTGCGGGCGGTTAACTATCGTTTACTCTCCATCCTCAGGTGAATAAGTTCGGTCAATACCCAATTGGACCACCACCCAATCGGCGGTGATATAACCAATTTGTATCTGAATTAGTGGTAAAAAAAAATAATAAAGAAAGAATTACACCTAGAGACCCTTAGGTTTGTCATTTAATTATTTAAACTCTTAATATTTAAAATATTACATACAGACCCCTTAAAGTTTGTACGCGTATAACACTTAAACTTTGGACGTCAATGTCCATTAGTCTATTTATTAGTAAATTATACTCAGATCCTCTAAATTTTTAAGGCGTACAATATTTAGACCTCTCATATTTAAAATATTATGTGTAGACTAAAAATACTTTAATCAAAGATAGAATAATAAAAAAATTTATTTTTTTCTTAAAAAAATTATAATTAATGTATAATTATACTATCTATTAGAATAAAACTAAAAAAAATTAAACAAGAGGTCAAACTGCAATGAATATAATATCTGCTACCTTTGATTGGAGTAATTTGGGGTTTAATAGATTTCGTTAATTCTGTAATTAATAAGGGGTCTAAATATAATATTTTAAACTTAAGAAATGTAAGTGTTACATGTTATAAATTTTAGGGGATCTAGATATAATTTTTTAACAAATATGCTAACAAACATCGATGACAGGGGTCTAAGTGTTACACGCGCACGAACTTTAAGAGGGTCTTTGCATAATATTTTAAGTATCAAATGATTTAAATAATTAAATGACAAATTTTAAGAAGTCTAGATGTAATTCTCCTTAAAAAAATATATATCAATCTAAATCCGTTTCATTTTTTTTTTTTAGAGAGATTTTGAACTTTTGACCTCAAGAAGACAAAGTCTTCATAAAATAAAAAGCACCGTAAAACCAAAGACCCATTAATATAATTTCATTGAATTCGAATTTGAATTCGGATNACAAAATAGACGACAGTTAACCGCAAATTGATATAAATTTAAGACATAAATTTATATCAATGTGCGGGCGGTTAACTACCGTTTACTCTCCATCCTCAGGTGAATAAGTTTAGTCAGTACCCAATTGGACCACCACCCAATCAGCGGTGATATAACAAATTTGTATCTGAATTAGTGGTAAAAAAATAATAAATAAAGAATTACACCTAGGGACCCTTAGGTTTGTCATTTAATTATTTAAACTCCTAATATTTAAAATATTACATACAGACCCCTTAAAGTTTGTACGCGTATAACACTTAGACTTTGGATGTCAATGTCCAGTCTATTTATTAGTAAATTATACTCAGATCCTCTAAATTTTTAAGGCGTACAATATTTAGACCCCTCATATTTAAAATATTATGTGTAGACTAAAAATACTTTAATCAAAGATAGAATAATAAAAAAAATTATTTTTTTCTTAAAAAAATTATAATTAATGTATAATTATACTATCTATTAGAATAAAACTAAAAAAAAATCAAACAAAAGGTCAAACTGCAATGAATATAATATCTGCTACCTTTGATTGGAGTAATTTGGCGTTTAATAGATTTCGTTAATTTTGTAATTAATAAGGGGTCTAAATATAATATTTTAAACTTAAGAAATGTAAGTGTTACATGCTATAAATTTTAGGGGATCTAGATATAATTTTTTAACAGATATGCTAACAAACATCGATGACAGGGGTCTAAGTGTTACACGCGTACGAACTTTAAGAGGGTCTTTGCATAATATTTTAAGTATCAAATGATCTAAATAATTAAATGACAAACTTTAAGAAGTCTAGATGTAATTCTCCTTAAAAATATATATATCAATCTAAATCCGTTTCATTTTTTTTTTTTAGAGAGAGTTTGAACTCTTGACCTCAAGAAGACAAAGTTTTCATAAAATAAAAAGCATCGTAAAACCAAAGACCCATTAATATAATTTCATTGAATTCGAATTTGAATTCGGATGGAGTTCATATCAATACCCAATCCGGCCGAGCGTGAACATGTGACCGAGACTCACCATTCCAACTTGGGTAAATGAACTACAATTTCAGGTCAAAGATTCTTTTTTTGAACTGGACAAAGGGGAATGTTTTTCTTTCCTTATTTTTTTTCTTAATAATATTTGGCAAAGGTTCATTGAATGAGAAGATCATTGATGAAAGGGTTCATTGTGCAAGAAAAGGTTAATTGTAAATTATAAGTTGTGAGGTAAGTTCTCAAAGTAAAATTTTTCAATAATGTCCTAATGTCATTATATTCTAATTTTACCCCTAGATTTTTAGTTACTAAGTCTTTTCATTCTTTTTTTATTCTTTCTAATATGTTATAACTCCAATGGCACACTCTCAGTACAGTTTTTCAATTTCTATTGGTTCCTTTTGCTCAACAACAGTGACATCCCTTTTTTTTTTTTTTGTGGAAATGATGGATTTGAATCTTTTTTGCCCTTTTGTTCTCACTTTCACTCGTTAGAAAATTGCAAAAGTTAAAACATACACCATTATTATTGTGTATCATCTGTTATTTAACTCAATTTAATATTTTTTAGAATAGATCAGTTGTCATCCATTTTTTATATGAGTTAATTTACATATTTTTTCTAGAAATAATGTTGAGTTTTTATATAACTAAAAAATAGACAATATATAAGTCCAATATATAAAAAGACAAAAGACTAATGTTATAAGTCCAATATCTTAGGTATCAATATTTGTTAAGAGAATAATAGAATTGGAACAAAATATAGTATCTATGGAATTTAAAACTTTATTTAAATAAAATAAAAATAATAAGACTTAATGAATATTTATAACATGAAGCAAAACTTATTAATAATTTTTTCTAGTATCATTTAAACTAATCGGATAACTTAGCGAAAAGTCAAAGAAGTGCGGTTTTCAAAAGTCAGTTTGACAGACGTGCTTCTTTAACAAAAGGCAAAACTGTATGTTATCAAATATCCTACACTTTTTTCCAAATGAACTTTAGTTCTGCAAAGGTTCATCGTATATTTGTACCATCATGAAGAGGGGAAAAAGCCAGGCCATTTATTCATTTATGGGTTAATCTCATTTTCCCACTTAAAAAATATCACTTGAATTTTAATTTATACTTTTAAAATTTAAAAATATTAATTTATATCATAAAAGACATAAATTCGTATCAATATGCACCTAGAACTAACCGTTATCTATTTTGCTATTAAAAAATTTGGGTTAATATAAATTACACTCTCAAAGTTTAAATATTTTATATTTATGATCCAAAAAAAATTACATCTATTAATGCTCGTTAAATAACTCTCAATTGTGATGTATTGTGTCTAACTTTAGATAGAAAATATCTATTTAATGAGTATTATAGGCAAAAAATAAGTACTTTAATTTTTTTTTAAATAGTATTATATGAAATGTCATAAATGTGAAATATACGATACAATACAATTGATTTGACAACAAAATATTTTTTGTATTAAAAATAATTTTTATGTACTCGAACACGATACAAAAATAATACGACATGACAAAAAATGACACTACACGAAAATATTACTATATAATAAAATTGAGAGGCATTTAATGAGTATTAATGAATGAAATTCTTTGTGGATCATAAATATAAAATATTTAAATTTGAAGGTACAATTTGTAATTAATCTAAACTTTTTTTATGGCAAAATGGACTGTAGTTAACCTAGTGTACATTGATATAAATTTATGTTTTTCAGAGTGTAAATTAATATTTTTAAACTTTGAGGATGTAAATTGAGATTTGAATCATCTTTTCGGGTGTAATTTGAAATTAGACCATAATTTATTTTTTAAAGGATTAATCTTATTTTACCCTAAAAGATAGTCAAGTTATAGTTTACACCTTAAAAAATTTTAATTCCCAAATTATACCCTTAATGTCATAAAAAAATTGTAATATAACACACACTTAAACTACCATCCTCTTTTACGTCACAAAACGTTGTTTATTACTTTCTCCGTTCTTAAATATCTGTCGTTTAAGATTTTTACACAGAGATTAAGAAAACTATTAAATAGCTCTAATATGAGTAAAAAATAATTACATAAGATTAAAATACTCTTATTCAATACGTATTGAGAATGAAATAAATATGAAAGATACTTAACCTACACTTAATCTATTAAGTACTTATTGAAAAATAGAGATAAGGGTAAATTTGGAGAAAAAAATATTTATTATACTTTAGTTTCATAAAATGACAGATATTATGAAATAAAAAAAAATTGTATAAAACGACAAATATTTAAGAACAAAGAGAGTATTATGTTTTGTACCATTTACTATAACGGAGAAATGAACGACAATTTGGATCTGTAGCATATTGCTGCTTTTCATGACATTAAAGGTGTAATTTAAAACTTAAGACCTTTTTAACGTATAAATTAAGAATTCAAACATTTTAATACTCCCTTTATTTTTAAATATTTATCATTTAAAATTTTTACACAGAGATTAAAGAAGTTATTAAATAACTCTAGTATGAGTAAACAATAAGTACACAAAACTAAAATATTCTTATTTAATATATATTGTGAAGAAAATAAATATGAAAAGTATTTAGGCTCCACCTATTTTAATGCATTAAAAAGTTAAGGGTAAATTTAAAAGAAAAAATATTAATTATACTTTGGTTTCATTATACAACAGATATTATAAAATAAAAAAAATTGTGTAAAACGATTTATAAGATTATAAAACAAAAAAAATGATGTAAAACGAGATATATATATATATATATATAGGACCGAAGAGACCAGTAGAAAGTGTGATTAACCTTTTTTTTAAATTGTCTGGCTGCCTATAAGAGGGGAAGAGTAGCTGCCATGGTAGCACGGTTGCTGTTGTAGTCCTGTCCATTTCATTACTACATTAGAGCCTGTCCATTTCATTACTACATTAGAGTACTTTGATTCGATGATGGAGTTCTTTGATTCGATGAACATGGTGGAACATGAAGCAGTTGTAGAAGAAGAAGAAGAAACAATTCCGGCATATTCCGAACTAATTCTGGCGACTGGGCCACTGTATTCGCCCGTGAATTTAGATTTCCACCCCGAAGTTCAACCTACCTCCCCATTTGTCGATCAACCCTTAACTCCTCTGTGGAATTTTCAAGACAATAATTGCGATTTCTCGGCCAGAGGAGGCCATGGCAGCTACTCCTTCCCCTTCCCCTTCCCCTTCCCCTTTCCTCGTAAAAGTGGGGCCCTCAGGTCGTTGGTTATCCTGGGTAAGTCATAATTTTGCTATATCTGAATTGAAAAGAGAACGAAAAAAACTGTGAAAGTAGAAGAATTTATAGGGTATTGGTTAATCATGTGCGTTAAATAATCTTTGTTGCCTCTATTTTTTATGATTATTGTTCAAACATGGAAGTAGAATGTAAGGCATTATTGGATGTATTGAAGACATTAAGCGTGGTCTGAATATCTATAAAATCTGGATCATATCTAGTTCACTTTTTTAGTGGAGATGAAGAAGAAGAAGCAAAGTTCTTGATGGAGGTTGTGCTATCAATGGGATCAGATTTTAATTTCTATATCCCGAATTTTGTGGTTATTACGCTTGGTAATGGTTTGATTTCGGTATCCAATGAGAGACGGTATCAAAGTTTATAACTTTTGGGTTTGAATAAATTTTTTTTAGGTCAAGTTATCACTCAAAATGTTGAGATCAATGCTAAGATTTTAGGATCGATCCTAAAACTATACAACTACATATTTGGGGTCATGTTATAACGTTTAGGATCAAGTTACAGCTTTCAGGGTTGAATTAGAATTTTTTGGGATGTGTATAATGGTGGTTTTGAGTTTAATTACTTATGGTGGGTATTAAAAATATAAACTTAATAGTTTACTAATAAATATTTAAATGAGGTGGGAATAACCCCACCCATTTTATTATTGAGGAACACATTTGGATAACTTCCTTCAGTATTCTAAAGACGTTTCATTAGTGCAAAATGCAAACCAAGATATAGTCCACATTGATACAATAAGTTGAAGCCTACCAGAGTATGACCAAACTATACTGCCCATAAAAAGGGGTACCCTTAAGCAGGCAGTAAATTTAATACACACTATGGGTTATCCTGCAGGCAGTCAATTTGAAGAGTTAGGAATATTGGATCAGCCTAATCTTTTACCGTTAATTATATTTGTTGATCTCTTCTCAAAAAATACTTGACATTACTTATGATGCAGATTTCTCGCTGCCTCCAAATATTTGTGACTTAGATTTCTTGCTCCCTCCAAATCTGCATCGCCTCAAGATGTCGTTTCCCTGGAGTTATAGCAGTAAGTCATAATTTTGATTTATCTGAATTGAAAAGAGAACGAAAAAAAATGTGAAAGTAGAGGAATTTATATGGTATTGGTTAATCATGTGCATTAAATAATCTTTGTTGCCTCTATTTTTTATGGTTATTGTTCAAATGGAAGTAGAATGTAAGGCATTATTGGATGTGTTGAAAACATTAAGCGTGGTCTGAATATCTATAAAATCTGGATCAAATTTGATTCACTTTTTTTAGTTGAGATGATGAAAAAAAAAAAAGAAAAGTTCTCAACGGAGGTTGTGTTATCAATGGAATCAGATTTTAATTTCTATATCCCGAATTTTGTGGTTATTACGCTTGGTAATAGTTTGATTTCAGTATCAAATGAGATACGGTATCAAAGTTTATAACTTTTGGGTTTGGATAAAATTTTTTTAGGTCAAGTTATCACTCAAAATGTTGAGATCAATGCTAAGATTTTAGGATCGATCCTAAAACTATACAACTATTTGGGGTCATATTACAATATTTAGGATCAAGTTACAGTTTTTAAGGTCAAATTAGATTTTTTTGGGGTGTGTGTGGTGTTGCCTTTGGGTTTAATTACTAATCTGATGGGTATAGAAATGATGAATTTAATAGTCTAATAATAAAGATTTAAATGAGATGGGAAAAACCCACCCATTTTATTATTGAGGATCACTTTTCAATATTATAAAGATATTTCATTAGTACAGAATGCAAACCAAGAGATTGATACAATAAGTCGAAGCATACCAGGGTATGACCAAACTATACTGCCCCATAATAATGGGTACCCTTAAGCATTTGATAGGGAATCAAATGATCAAAATTTTGTTTGTTTCCCCCCAAGATGACCAGAAACCAATCCAATTAGTTATGAAAATTTGAAATTTTCTTGTTTCAGAAGGTTTCGGCAATAAAATTTCAATTTTTTATGTTGATTTTTATTTTCAAAAGGTTTTCATTTTCGAGCTAACCGAGACTATTCTTCAAATGAATTTTTGATCCAGAATTTACCTTTCGAAATCCCAGAATTTCCACTTGTCTAAACTTATCTACTCCCGCCAATAAGAAACAGCTCTTACGCTTGCTACCTAGAAATTTTATGAAACCTGTACAATATCTAGAAGATTAATTTATTTAAATCTGTTGACTAGGGCGCAAAGACTTCTGCGTTAATTTGGTTTGAAAAATTGATTTTATAGATTCTTTTTTGGTATGGTTATTTGATAAAGCACATTAAAACTAAATGCCGCTACCATCTGGATTTCTTATAGGCTTTAGGATCATCAGTTACACACTAGGGTTATCCTGCAGGCAGTAAATTTGAAGAGTTAGGAATATTGGATCAGCCTAATCTTTTTCCGTTAACTTTATTTGTTGCTATCTTCTCAACAAATACTTGACATTACTTATGAAGCAGAGTTGCCTTTGCTATTGGACATGACTTGCCTAAAGAGCTTGGTATATTTGATGATATTGGTCAGTGTCCGAATCAGGTATCTTATGATAGTGAGATGTCTAATCTTTTTCCATTAGTATTATTTACTGGTCTGTTTTCAAAAAATAGACATCACTGCTGATGAAGCAGATTTTCGATCCACCACAGGAAGTTGCGTAAAGTACAGGAAGAGGCAATATCTGTTGAAACTACCAAATTTTCTGGAGATAACAAACTTGATTCGAATCATGAATCTCCACAAGGGCCTCAGGATTATCCAAATGGAAGAGACATGGTGCAAATTGATTCATCTGAGCAGCAGGCAGTGGAATTTGATGTCAGACATAATGGAGGGAACATTGTTATTACGGGCGAAAGTGACACTCCTGTAGCAGGTTCAGAAAGAAAGAACGCAAAAAAGATATCAAAGAGAAAACACACAAATACTGAGACATTTCTTAGTCCAGAGCTTCTTCAACAACTAAAAGGAAGAATGACTCTCGATGAAATTGCAGAATGCACCGGTGGTAAAGCCCATAAATTTAAGAAGTTTTTGCTTTTGATCTTTTCTTGTATTTGACTGGCTAACTTCTTGTCTTGGGGAAGACGGATTCTTCTTTTGAACGAGAAAAGAAACGGAAACTGAAGTCTCTTATCCAGAATTTTTTTTTTTGCCAGCTAGTCGATCTTCGATTAAACGCTTCTGTAGGAAGTATGAAATCCCCCGATGGCCTCGCAAGAGAAATGAATCTGTGCATGGTGTTGAGGGAGCACCTTCCCAACCATGTCTCGCTAAAGATCCACTTAATGATGGGATAGGCCGGCCCGCCAAATTGAACAAATCCAACCAACGGAACTTATCTCTGGCTTTTCGACCGACGGAACTGAGTCCATCATCTCCATATTGTGTCTCAAATACTCTAGCTTCGATGCGGCCTCAAATCTCAGCTGAACGAATGCTCACAGAGGTTCAAGGGTGCCCAGAATATTTGAAAAAGGGGAAAGGAAATGAGACAGTCCGTTCATGTTCTAATCCGATTCCTGAGCATACTGTGACTTCTGTTGCTCCTACTATGCTACAAGTTATCGCAATGCAAGACGTGAGTACCATGACCATAAAGGTGAGATATAGAAGTGAAATTTTAAGGTTTCCGCTATCTCTTTCATCAGGAAAGAGAGAGTTGGATGAGAAAATCTCAAAGAGGCTAGAGTTGAAGCTTGGAACCTTTAGAATCAAGTATCAGGATGCTGATGGCGATTGGGTTGGAATATACTGTGATGAGGACTTACAGCTTTGCATGGGTGATTCGAAACGATTGGGGAAAAGTACAATCATAATGTCGGTGGAATCTTGAATTGAACGGTTGTGTTGTTTGTATGGTTATGAGTTTGTTTACCGCATATTTCTGTACTAGTAGGTATACATTTTCATTGAACATGGACCATTTTCAAGATTTGTTTTCTATTTTCTTACAAGAAAGTGTTCTTGGTCAAATAGTACTTACAAAATCTTCTTTTGAAACGTGACACAAAGTTGCATTCCAAGTGGAAAATAAGTCAAATTGGCCTACCATAAGCATAATAGCCCATCCAAGAAACCAAGATATATATAACAATGTAAAACTCCGATAACATCACTAATCTAGTTTCAAGAATCACGACAAGGGTAAACCTACAAGCATATCAAACTGTCTTTAGAAAATATATTTTTGGCCTTTTACTTATTCCTATAAATTTTGGGATTTGATTCATAAGAATCAAAAGTGCTAAAACCATACAAACTATCAAACACATCCATGGTGGCAACATGAATAACTTCTTGCTTTAGACAGGCATTGACAGAATTGAATTTGTCAATAGCCACCAAGACACAAAGTGACATCCTCGTCACTTTACCCAAGATAAAATATGTAGAAGAGTTTAAAAACGAAATCGTGTTCCCACTACCGAGTGTATACAAATCGACCATGAAGCAAAAATCATCACCGACTACAAAATTGAGATTATTCAACATGCATGTGTCTATGGCTTACAAGATTGACACCTAGGAGAAAAATTGTGGGTATAGCAGTGAAATATTCCGTAGTTGTAATGTCCACCTCAAAATAAAAGTAATATTGATAAAATGCACGTCTCTTTGAGTATTCTCTCATTTAATGTGGTTTATTATGGTTTAACATATGAGATTAAATTCTTTACAAACAAGCATGTAAACAATTATTTACATGCAAACAATCAAAATTGAGAAACTACACAAACACATAAATCAATGTTGAGAATTCTCAATGAGTTTGTGTAGCTCCCCAATTTTGATTGACTGTCTATAAACATGCCTGTAAAAGAATACATTATCTTAACATATTATTCTCAGTGAATATATTGAAAGAAGATAAATTCTTAGTTATAGAGGAAGATGAGAAGTCCAAAAAAGAATAATAGGGTGTACATGCCTGTTCGGGTCCTCCCTCATTTAAAAAAGGTTTAGTGCAGTTTAGTTTATCATTCATGTGCATGGAACATAGGAAGAGGTTAAACTGTAAGTTTTGGGGAAAAAATGAGAAGTCACATAAAAGGTTATTATTATTGTTTTGTATTTAGTTAGGGGTACTATTGGCAATCAAAAATTTTCTAACATCCTGACATTTTATATTATATTATTAGTATATATATAGACTTATGTGTCGTCTCCACTCTCTCTGCTATATTTATTGGGCAAAAGTTTCGCTTTAACAGGCTAATTGCGTAGTTACTATCATTTTAAGTGGGATGGGAAAATTAAAAGAAAAGAAATAAACCACTCTTAAGTTTTTCAATTAGCAGATAATAACACTGGTAAGATTACGAAAATTAGTATTTTAAGTTTATGTAACATTACACTCTTTTTAATGAATGACGAGTCAACACATATACATCATTCATTAAATGTTATTGACTATTTGATTATAATTAGTCTATTCTTAAATATTTCAATCCCTATTTCAAAATTTTATCAAAGATACTCTTTATTTAAAAAAAAAAAAACTCACAAAAAGACAAACCGCTTCAACTCACAAAAAGACAACACATCTTTAAAAAAGTGTAACCTGACCTTGACCTTAAACAATAATTTTTAGTACGATACCAAAATTATTTTTTGGGTACCGCAGAATTATCCCCAAATTAATTGCTTGGAGACGCAGGAATATTAGAACCCCCTATTTACCTTTAACAGAGAGGAATGCAAAGGGTAAATGACTCCTCTCTTCAGATGTCCTGCCTCTGACATTTGGACATTTGCCACAAATATAACATGCAATCGTCTCATTTCTACATTTATAGAACTGCCCAGTATGATCTAACTAGAATTAAATTTACCTAGTCCAATCAACAAGAAAGTAGAATCCGGAAAAGGACCGGAAAAGTATCATGGAGAACAAATCTATCTTACTTGAATCTATTCTCACCACTACTTGGAAAGTGGATGAGGGAGAGAGAGAGATTCAATTTGCACCTTGTTCAACCAGCTTTCAGAATTTTCTAAGCAAGGTCTCTGGTTTCCCCATTCAATTTCCAAGACTTGTCCACACTCACTACCCATTGTTGTTTGAAGGCATCCAAAACACTAGTCCAACAACGCACCAACATGTGCATCACAGAAGGAACCCACATAGATGCTTTTTAGTAATAATTCAATCTGGAAGTTCAAAAAATACAAGTTTTTCAACCTTTCACGAACAGAATCATTTTGTTCTTTTGCACATGAATTTGTTCGACAATAATACAATGCCCAATCCCTTAAAGAAATCTCCCAAAAAAAAAAAACTATTAAAACATGAAGCAACCGACTAAACTCAACCTATAGTTAAAATTTAAACTGCAGCTCGGCTTGGTATATATGCTTCTCAAAAGCTGGCAAAATTTTACCCGAGTAAAAGCTCATTGATAGCAAAGACCTGCATCACATTTTAAACTGAACGCCAAGCGGATGGCATTATATCTGACTACCATGGTTTATAGTCAAACCAAGTGTTTGTAGTGATGAAGTACATTTCATCATGAGATGTATCTGTCCTGCTGCTCTTGAAGAAGTTTTGCTGAAGACTTGGCATCCAAATAAAGAGTATTCACTTCCTCAAGATCTGCCTGCAGATTAAAAACTAATTAAACACTCTCTTGATAGTCCATGGTACAAGTACCTTTACCAATGTGTTTATAAGCACCTTGCAAATATTGTCTCGACCATTCATTTTGGCTACAACACTGGCAGGTGACATTAGCTGAACTGCATGCCTGAGGAAACAGTTAAAGATGGATTAAGCATCATTTGGATAAAGGTTATTAACACCATCTAAGTTGAGTGCAAACAAGTAGAGCAAACCTTAAGGATGCTGTTTGTCCAATCTCCCCAAGGTAAGCCAGACTTTCTTCATCTACAACTAGTTCCTCCACCTGTGCACGGATGGCTAATATCTGGCCCAGTATCAAAGAACACGTTTATCAAGATCAATTCTATTGGATAGTGTGCTGGAAAGTTGAAATAGGTTCCACATGCAAGAAAATCTGAATAACATAGGGCAGAAACCTGTATCATATCAGCCGGACCATAAGTTTCTGTACGTATTATCACCAACCGGTCTAACAAGTCAACTGGTATTCCATGAGGACTAATCATATCGGTTCCTCTGAAAAGCAACAATCTCATGTTCAATCATTAAGACACTAGAGAAACATATATAGGTGGACCATCTATGCAAGCCTGGCATGCATGTCCCAGGTAATGTGAACACAGTTTATTGGTCTTCTGGGGGTTAGGAGGATGCGTAGATACTACTTACACCGACACTAAACTATAACAACATAAATCTTCCAGGTTGCTTGTGGAGTATCACCTGTTTTTGGCACTCTCAAAAGAAAGTATGAAATTATAAGACAGTAATAAGTTTAGTTAAAAACAACTGTTATAAGAATTACAACATAACTGTGTATATTGGTGCTTAATTTAGTTATTCCTTCCACTTCTAAACCACAATAATGAGGCACCACAATTTTAAACTGTTATGAGTGTGTACATATGTATTTTACAAAGAGTCCATTGCTGAGTTTTTATATGTAGTTGTCAATGGAGAATACTGAAGTCTGAGAATCATAAATGAGGAACCCAATAAACAGGTAAATTATAGCCAATTTCTCAGTTTAGCATACATAGAAGATTTAAAATATTCAAACAAACATGAAAAGTTCCACGATGGAATCAATCACTCCCTTGAATACTGAAATCTGAGAATCATACATGAGGAACCCAATAAACAGGTAAATTACAGCCAATTTCTGGGTTTAGCATACATAAAATATTCAAACAAACTAGACAAGTTCCCGAATGGAATCAATCAACCCCTTCTATATAGTGAGTGGTGACGAGGAATTGTCCTGATACAGTACCAAAGAATCTATGATTACAATATCAATGGAATCATATCCCTAACAACTTCACAAGTTTAGGACATATATTGAACTAGAGCAGCTTAAACTTCCAGCAGATAATCTTACCATCATCAACTTCATAAGACTCCACCAAGATGCAATTCTATATGGCATTTCCACATATAATTCAGTTCAAGGGTTTAATATTGCAAAATAATAAAAATAACAGTGAACATTCCAGTATGGTTTATTCTCTGCTCAACCCGACATTTCAAAAATGTAAATAAGACCCAATCAAACAATTTTATTACAAAATGATTAATTCATCCTCGGTCAAAGTTTGTTCTTCTGATCGAAATTGAGTCAATCACCATTGAGTCAACCTGGCCCACACCATTCCCCCTGTCGGCTCCAATCCCAACATCATTCCCCCCACTACCCCGTCACTGGCCAAAGCCCCACCGTAGCTGGTTCAACTTGTTCAGACCAGTAGTTAGCATATCTGGTCAGACTTGGGCCAATATCCGACACAACTACTACGCAAAATAACATTGGTGGACTCGGTTAATCTGGACTCTGGTTAATCATGGATAACAAAATCCGTCAAATAATTGGCCTTGAATAACTGACCATTTGCACGAATCTAGTATTAAATCTGAATCTGAGTGTTTATAAATAGGGCTTTCTCATGTTTGACAGGATGCTGAGGGGACAAAGAAGATAGAGTGTTTCGTGTTGGAAATAGTGGGTAACTCATATTCATTAAGCCAAAAGTCTAATGATCAGTATATTGACGGTTTTCAATGTATATCTGGTATCTGAGTTTACCAGGGCTGGGTATATCACTTTTCCTAAGATTAAATTTAGATGATTGACTAGGATTAAGGCTTTCAATTAGTGCCTATACATTCGTTGTAACCCTCTTGGGGTGAAACAACAGCTCCCTTGGATGTGGGTAGAATTTCTGCCGAACCACTTAAATCCTCGTCTCCATTGTTCTTGATTTTCTTTCTCGTTTGATTTTTCGCCACATTCCATGTTCATGAAGTTTTGCTACTAGGCTAATTTTATAAAAGGAACCAATTTGGTAACCTAATTATTTTGTTCTAACAAGAAATACAGTGTGTATCATTGGCATTTTGAGCATTCTATGTTGATGCCATCTTTCTAGTGCATTGAAATGTTAAAGGGGCCTCAATGTTATTTTCGAAATGTTAATAGGTGGCCGGAAGACAAACCTAAATATCAGTGGGTGTCATCTCAATTTCCCAAAATAATAATACTTTTAGTACACTTTCTATCCAAATAAAGTTACTTAACATTTAGGTTCCTTAAAATTTTATTCAAATAAGCTAAGAAAAAGCAAGTTCTAATGTAAAATTGTAAAAATCTTGAACAGTGAATAGATTTGTTCACCATGCTATTCCAGTTTTTCTAACATTGCCACAAGTAGAGCTTAATACCTCACATTACATATTCCTCTGTTTGTAGCAAAGATTACGATTGGAGATAGCGAGCTCTCTAAAGCACGATTCAAGTATGAAAAGCATTCCATATCCAGCATGTGCACCTGCGGATGGCAATTTGTAAGCCAACAAACACATGGAAACCAACCAGTGCATTATAACATATGAGTACTTGGATAAGAAGAAGAACCTCGTCAATAAATAAGACTCCAGGAACAAGTTCTGCCACACCTTCATCAATATAGCGGTTAACAACCTGTAATCCATAAATTTTACAAGTAAAGGTACACATAATCTAAACTAGGAAATTATAGCTTCACGGAATAATACAGACAATTGGAGGAGGGACACGGTTCGGATTTTGTAAAACCTTCAGAATTTTTCAGAAATTAGTGAAGAAATCATGCATAACTATTTACTCAAAAATTTGGGTCTATCAAAAATGAACAGAATTTGTTTAGTGTTTATCTAATTTGTCAACCAAGTGTTTTATCCATGTCCAGATAATAAATAAAAGCATAATCAGTACCTTGTTTATTTCTTGTCGTAGCTTGTCAGTAATTTCTGTTTTCCTGGGTTTCATCATCTGACCCATCAGGGACAATATATCCTGTCCACCTTGAGGCCGTGCATTTGCAGCATCCAGATCATGCAGCGTAACATCCTGTTAAACAAACAAAGAATACATTATAAATGCAAGAAATCATACAAATTTCCAAAAACCTTATCTCCACCTCCTGCTCCTGGACGATATTTTATTAGCAAAAAAACATTATCATGATAATACATATTTGTCATATATATATGAACAGAGGTTGTTTCAAGAAATGGTCTGTTCCTTTAAAATATAAACAGCAGGCCTGTATTCAGAACATCACCAAAAATTATGGCAATTACATACATGTCAGACACAGATTCATCTGGAATCTCAGCAATGCAGAAATCACTACTCAGCAAATGTAATGCAGGTGTCAATTTGACCTGTTGGAAAATAAACTGATCCAAGAAAACTGAAATTAGAATGAGGCTTTGGCCCTCAAAATTGATTGCCCCACGATCCACAAACATGGACTCTTTGGATACAGTACATGTACTTGTACCCGCATTACATCAGAGGTCTATGTAAAGTAATGATGGTGTTTCATACAAAGTCAAAGCACCTCAGAGGCCAACAAAACCCATAAATGGATCACCGAACAAGTGACAACCTAAATTAAAGGCTGCCAAATACGTCAAGCCAAAGCCGGGGAAAAAAATCATCGCAAAGTGCAACAGGAAAACAAAAAAAAAAGGAAAAAAGAAAAACAGCGCAATCATATTGTATGAGACTCAAACAAACCTGGACTATCTCCTTCTTTTTGTGAACCTCTCCTTTAGGAAGTGGGACATACTCTTCTGCCTCGAGATCAAATTCAGTAGCAAAAGCATCACTCCTACCCACCCTTTTTACTGCACCACTATTTGCTTCGATGTATATAACGTCACCAACAGCAACCTGCAGTTTGTATCAAATAAGTCGTGAGAGTTATTAGAAATAAAATGGCATAAATATCATTGCAATCTAAGCATGCAGTGCTGTAAAGTGAAAACCAATTTAGCTCTTTACCCTAAAGTCTAACCTTAGGAAACAGGACAGTTTCCAACAGCTTCACAATGATGTAGAATGTTAAGATCTAAATCAAACCTATTTTTTATGCAGGAAAACAAACACATTGGAGGCCCTTACCTTCTCCTTAATTAATGCATCATAAATAGTTGGGTCTAGCTTCAGCTGCTTCGTTCCCTTGACAGTTTTCAACCCGATAATTACATGGCTAATATTTTTACCATACCCACCTGTTACACTCTCGGTTTCTTCTGGGGAGAGTTCAGTCACCTAAAACACAAATTGCTTACAATCAATCAGAAACTGAACCGAACAGAAATCACCAGTGATATGCCAAGAATGCAACAGGTACAGACAAATCACTAGATTAAGGAAAAGGCTAGGCAGAAGAGTAACTTACTTCCCCTTCATAAACCTCTTTATTTTCCTTAATACGCAGACCAATAGCCCTACGGAAATTTTCCATCAAAACCTCAGTTTTCTTTACTTCTGATGAATATACTTCTGATCCAACCATAGGGCAGAACGGAACCTGCAAATTAGAAGTGAACAATTGAATTTTCTTTGACGAAAACTAAACCCAAAACTTTCAAAACTAAAGTTTGAACTAATCAAAAAGAATTTTGCAACGCAAACTGATGTCACATCGAAGAACAATTAGTGAGACAACAATTCCACAGTAAGTACTAATAACATAAACAACAAAACAACTGAAGGAAAAGGCACATGAGAATTACCTTGCTCCCAAGCTCCTGGGATATACCAAGAGCAAGGGCTGTCTTCCCGGTACCAGGAGGTCCAGCAAGCAGAAGTGCCCGGCCAGCCATCTTCTTCTGGCGTATCATATCGACTACAAGGCCAGAGGCTTCTCTTGCTGCAGCCTGACCCACGAATCCAGCAGCCAAAGCTATTGCTTTTCCAGTGGCCTAAACAGAAATAATACCCAAAACCACAAAGATACCACCTTTTTTCAGGAAAGTAGAAAGACACCAACCATAAAACCCTAAACCCATAATCATATCGTAAAAAACCAAAAAAGAAAAACCCTAAACCCCATAAATAGGAGAGATCCACAGACAAACATGAGTTACCAGTGGAAAACTGAAAAAAGGGACTATGGGTGAGAAATATCGTTATCAAGTAATTTTCTTTCAAAAAAAATAAAAAATAGAGACAGAAAGACATAGATTACTGAAGCAGAGGAGGGAATAATGTTTACCTCAAGACCAAGACCTTTAATGTGAGTATGAGTAGCTATCCTCTGCTTCTTTGTCGTGGACTGAACCTCTTCTATCTTCATCCTCTTCCTCACTCTGTGTGCGTCTCTCTCTCTCTGCTCTTCGGTTTACAGAAGCTGCTCGTTTCTGGAACAGTAGGTATTTCAATTTGGAAAAATTTAAGTCACCCCTATTGACTGTATCTTCAAAAATATTTTCCCTATTTCCCAAATTTTCACTGACATCTGCCAAATTAAAATTGTTAATTAAAATACAATTTTATTAAATCACTCGGCCACATCTTTTATAAAAAAGTTTATCCACATCCTCTCTAGATAAATATAACTTCAATGATATCTCATTTATTTTTTAAATATTTTTGCATATTAAAATTCCGGTAAATTAAATTCGATTCAATCTAATTAAAATTCATTTTTTAAGTATTAAAATTTAAATTAATAAAAAATTATATTTTTTTACGTATTAAAATTTGAGTTGATTAAAATTTATTTTTAATAGACTTAAATTAAATTTTAATCAACTCGCATTTTAATTTACACTAATTTTAATAAATAAAAATATATAAATTTTTAATTGACTTGAAACTAATTTTCAGCGACACTAACTGTTCAGATAGAACTCAAATCAACTCAAATTTTAATATGTAAAAAAAAATTTATTATGCTCGAATTTGAATACGAAAAAAATAAAACTTAATCAACTCAAATAAAATTTTAATCTGTCCAAATTTTAATATGTAAAAACATAAATTTTAATTCACTCGAATTTTAATATGTAAAAAAATAAATTTTAATTGGATCAATTTTTAATTGAATTTTATATAGAAATATTGTTTGGGAGTATATGTAGGGGTAATTTTAGTATTTTATATTTTTTTGTTAAGAATGGTGGTTTAACATTGGAGAATCAATGATATTTAAATATAAACTAAAAAAAATATTAGTGATATTTTGAATAATAAAGGTAATGTCTTTGAAGATATAATAGGACTAAAATTTTCCCTTTAAATTGTATCAATTTTGTGGAGTTTAATCATCTAACGCTAAATTAAGTCGTGGACATCGAGTGAATATTTAGGAGCATCTCTAAACCTTAGCTTTTTTTAAACTTAAATTTAAATTTGGGTAAAAAGTTTTTAAAAAACTTTTACAATGTTAGACTCATACTCATCTATATAATAAAGTAGCTTACAATTCAAATTTCAAAAGATAAACAAAATGACTTTTACTATTTGCGGTTGAAATCACTTTAAATTTTACTTTAAAGTTAATCTAACGCCCAATATTAACACCCTAAATTTAATAGGAAAAATAGGCCTCTAAGATTGTGTTTGAAGTAGCTTTTGAAAAGTAATTTTAAAAATTATTTTTTATAAATATATTTTTTTTTAAAATAGTGTTTGAAACCGCTCCACCACTACCACCACCCACCATCACCGTCTCCTTCCACCACCACTGCCGCCCACCACCTCTCACCTCTCATCTCCACTACAAAAACGATGTTTAAATTCATTTATCTCTTTTCTATGTGTGTGATTTGATTTTGGATATAAATACAAAAATATTTTATTGTTTACTATTTTTTATTACTCTATGTCTTCAGGCACGGGTAATAACTAGTATCAAATAAAGGGGGGACTATTTTTTTTATTCAAATTTATAGTCAAATCTTTAATTGTAAGATTACACCTTCATTTAAAGATCCAATGGTCATATTTATCCTATTTTAAATTTGAGTTTGTCCTCATTTAAATTTAGGTTTCTCTTCCTTTAAATTTGAATTTTTCTATTAGAGAAATCTATATCAAATCAAGTTTTTTACTTTTTTTTTGTTACTTAAATTTGGGTAAGAGTTTGAGTTTGTATTAGAGATGGTCTAATATAATAGTGATATTATATCACTATTATCACGTAGTATCATTATTTAATAATAAAATATCAAGTATAAAAAGTGATTCTCACTTTCATGCATAGAGATAGTTTATTGTCTTCCATAGAAACAAAGATCGACAATTATTGTCTTACACGGAGAGCACTTCATTAATATTTTTGGGATCCTCTTTGGACCTAATGGCCCTCGTTACACTCTACGGTTGCTCTTCACAGCTATTCTAACCTATAACATCTGGACTTNGAGCACTTCATTAATATTTTTGGGATCCTCTTTGGACCTAATGGCCCTCGTTACACTCTACGGTTGCTCTTCACAGCTATTCTAACCTATAACATCTGGACTTGGAGGAATAAAGCTCTTCACAACAATCAGTTCACCATTCCACAACAATTTCTTCAGTAAGTTTTGAAAACTTTAAATGATTTCAAAGAAGTTACAATCCATTCAAAGGTCTCAGCAATCCAAAGCTCCCCAGAAATATGGAGAACCCCACACGAAGGAATTACAAAAGTATACATTGATGCAGCAGTGGGGAACAGACAATCATGTACTGCAGCGATTGCTCGACTACAAGATGGGTCAGTTATAGGAAGCAGACTTGGGATTGTGACAGAAACAGACCCACTAATAACTGAAGCTCTAGCTGCAAGGTAAGCTGTGGAATAAGCTTATGACAAGCGATGACCTTATGTGCTCATAGAAGGGGACTCATAGAAAGTCACTCATTCTATCATATGCTCTCTCATGTCCAACCTCACTACTCTGTGCTCTCAATTTTACACAGGACTGACTCAATAGAATTTGGGCCCTAAGCAAAAACTTTAAGCAGGACCTTAATAAACTTATTATAAATGTATGTGTTATTTTTATGGCTATGTTATTTTTTCAATGAAGATAGAGGGTTTATGGCTATTCTATTTTTCAATACGTTTTGAACTTAAAATCAGACAAGAGAGAGACAGGGAAAGAAATGTAGGCAAGATTTGGTTATGCAAATATATTCGTATATACCTTAATTATTGAGAGTGATTAAATTGACAAAAAATGAAGAGGGAGGGTGAGATATTTGAAGTGAGTGATGTCAGATGTAGCTGTTGGGTTAGTGGAAGAGTGTAAAATTTAAAGAAGAGGGGAGAGATTCAGATTTTGTATCTTTTTGAACCTCTTATTCCATAATATTCTTGAACCAGAGTAATTTATAAAGAACAAAAATATAATTTGGGTCCCTCGTTTTTTAGGGGCTCTATGCAAGTATTTCACTTTTGTTAGAGTATGTGTGGCTCATATTTGTTGTGTGCACAATGGCAAGGAGGTAGATGTCGGAGCGGGCGGAGCATAGCGGAATGGAGCAAAACGGAACATAGCGGAGCGAAGGCTGTGGCGACTATTAGGTTTTGTCTGGCTAATGACGTGATGTATCACGTCATGGATGAGGAATCACCGGCGGAAGTTTGGTTGAAACTAGAAAGTTGATATATGTCCAAGTTGTTGATGAACAAGTTCTATCTTAAGCAGAAACTATATGGTCTTAAGATGTCAGAGGGCTCGGATCTGACCCAACACATCAACGTGTTCAATCAGATCATCAACGATCTGAAGCGAGTTGATGTGAAGTTCGAAGACGAAGACAAGGC